CCGATAAAGTATCTAGTGGATGATGATGATGCTACATGGGTTTAGCTGCTCTGACAAAGAGGATAGTAATCACACTTTATGATGATATTATCTCCGTCTAGTCAGAGTATGTTCTGAATTGAAGTAGACTGTTGTGGATTCCTCCTCCAAGAGCCATATGGCGATATCACTGTCGCTTCTATATTTATAGCTTGCAGTTGTGTAGGATGCCGAAATCCAAGTTGTGTATATATACCACTAGTAGCAAATGTTCTACTTTGGTAACTCCGATCCCTGCTCACTAGACGGATACTCCTTATAAAGTAGCCACATATCCACATCCCCAGTCAGTTCCTACTTACCCACCATATCCACTGCAAACCCACAGATATAGCTGACAACATACCCTGTTGATACCCTGTTGGAAACAACTAGTTGGCAAACACATATCGCCACTTTTGTTCTTGATCCTATCTCTTAAGCAAAGCATCTATCTGCATGTTTCAGATGAACTACGGACCAGAGTGTGATTATCCACACCGCCTCGGGCCCCTACCAGCACCATTTCTTTTACTTTTTCAAATTGATATAATCCAAAAAATAGTAATAATCCCTATGCTACTAAGCGATAGCAATCATATAACCCTAGTAGTAGGGAAGGCTAGGCTACTGCCAAGCGCACCAAGAATCAGCAACCATGAATATATGAATATAGTGTCTCCCTCCGTACGAGCTTGGCAGCTTGGCAACACACACCCTTCACTCAATTATTATTACCAACTACTTAAATATTGTACTAAATCAGAAACACAATATCCCAGTAGATACCATACCATACATACATACCAATACGAACTAAACCAAACAATTCTAAATCCGGCACGGAATGAACCCGAAAATACCTAACTAACTAACCAAACCACCCCATCCCACCCATACCTGCATCAATCGATCGATCACGAGATCGCTGCTGCAAGCCTAATGTCTCTTTTCTCGCTTCAGGCTCCCGGCCGAAGCAAACCCAAATATTTTCTTATTTCGTTTACACATATTTTAGCGTTCCTACTTTCAGTTCGTGAGAGAAAGAAAGAGAAACGAAGGGAGGGAGGGGGAGGGTGTTATTGACAGTCCAGACCAGTCTAGACTCATGCATGCTTGGCACAGTGTGGTCAGAAAAGAATGCTGGGGGCGGGGAAGTAATGAGTTACTTACTCGAATTGGGCAGGACATGCCGTGCCGGGGGTGGAACAACGAACTCCATGGGAAATGGGGTTGTCGATTGTGGGTGGACTGGGGATGTAGTACGTAGTAAGAGGTGAGATGAGACTGGGATTGAAAGGCTGCGGCGCCGTGGTGGCTTTGAGGTTGTGGTAGTTTATTTGTCGCTCGTTCACAACAAGATCTATCCTAGTAAGAATGACTTGTATACTCGTATAATGGTAGCTAGCTAGAGCGAGTTTCCTTCCTAGGCTTCCTCCTCATCCTCGACATAAACATCATACTTGTACTTACTCCCCGGATGATCCGCTCTCAACTCCCTCTGCCCCCGTCCATACACCTTCTCTCTCGCCGTCAGCCCTTCTCCCTCATCCTCATCGGCAACAGCCTCAGGATACAACCCCCTCCTCCTCAATTCCGGCACCAACAACTCCACTACATCCTCAAATGTTCCCGGAGTAGTTACATACCCCAGATTAAACCCATCCAGATCTGCCTCTCTCACCCACCGTTCCATCTCATCCGCCACCCTCTCCGCACTCCCCACAGCAACAGGCCCCAACCCCCCAATGGCCGCCTTCTCCGCCACGACCCGCGGCGTCCACCTCGGCACGTCCTCGCTGGTGGTCGTAAACGCATCCAGCTGACTCGTGACCTTATGCGCCTCCAGCGAATCCGCCGCCGTGATATCCTGATCAATCGGGATCCGGCTGATATCAATCCCCGTCCACCCGCTGAATAGAACCAGTCCGCCGATGACAGACGCGTACTTCTTCACTTCTTCGTACTTGGCGCGCGCTTCTTCGTCCGTCCGGCCGATAATGGGCGTGAACGTCGCGAAGAACTTGATCGAGGCTGGGTCGCGGCCTTGTTCGGATGCGAGACGCCGGATGTTGGCGATCTTGGGCCGCAGGACGGCGGGTGAGTGGCTTGAGACAAAGATCGCTTCTGCGTGTGTGGCCGCGAAGGAGGAGCCCGCTGCTGAGGTGCCGGCTTGGAAGAGGAATGGGGTGCGTTGTGGCGATGGGTCCACGATGTGGCGCGTGTTCAGGGTGAAGTATTTCCCCTTGTGGTTGATTTGCCGCACTTTGTCCGGGTCGACGTAGCTGTCGTTCTCCGGGTCCGGGGAGAGAGCGTCAGGCGCCCAGGAGGATTCCCAGAGTCTTTTTGTTTCGCATGATGCATGTTAGTAGGTGAGAGAGAGTATAGGGGGAGGGGGCGGGAAGCATACTTGTATAGCACACGCAGGTACTCGTCCGCTTGGCGGTACCGCTCATCGTGCTCGATGGGAGTGTCGAGGCCAATGGCCTTGAAGGCTGCTTTCTTCCACGAGGTCACGATGTTCCATCCGATGCGGCCGTTGGTGAGATGGTCTAGCGTGGAGAAGCGCTTCGCCAGGAGGAATGGCGGCTCGAATGAAGTCGAGGCTGTGATTCCGAACGCGAGGTTCTTGGTCACGGCTGCCATGGCGGAAATGGGCTATTCTGTCAGTATACATCTTGCATTGGGTATAATGGGGGCGTACAATTGTCGGATCAGTGACAGGCCACTGCGCTGCACGCCGGATACATTCGTCTAGTTTGCCTTCGTAGGTGTCGTATCCGCCGTAAGTGTCAGCCAGGAACAGGGCATTGATGCCTCCGCGCTCGAGGAGCTTGGCTAGATTGATCCAGTAGTCGAGCTTGCGCTTCGTGGCTGATTTGTCGGCGGGGTTCTAGATAGTTGAGTCAGTATATAAAGTACCATGATGTTGAGTCGGGGAACCTCACCTTCCACTGTCCCGGAGACAGGTGTCCCACGGTGGACATGTCAAAGGCATTGAGCAGGATCTGCTTCTTGCCATTATGGCTACTGTCTGTACTGATGTCGCCCATTGTGTGTCTGAGATTGTTGCCTTGCAGTGGTTCACTAACACTCATTCGAATGTAGCTGTGATATATCCTGGTGTGGTGCACAACCCCTCACCAATCCCGCCATCAGATGTTGTCATGGCGCAAGCGTGTTATCAGTGGGATGGATATGCAAGATACAAATTCGCCATTTTCCCCGCATCATGCGTGAGACGGTCCTACTATCACTATCTTCTCTGAAACACTACGGAGTACTTCTGCCATGTGCTCCGATGCCGGATGGTGGTGGATGCTAAGTATATACACCATATGCAGGTATATTGCGTGACAGTTTGATAAGATGGGGCACCCAACCTCGTACATCTAATTGACTAATCTCTAATCTTCTATTTTTCACTTGGCGTCCATCCCTTCCTCATCAGTGTATCTGTAGTCAGTCTTAGGTCGAGCAACCTGCACGACAGCAGATCCAGACTCTGGCTCGTCTCGAGAGGCCCTCGAGTCCTCATCCGTAGCTGATATCGCGCGATCCCTAGGTACATTAGTATCACCCCAAATACTAGCAAGCATCAATGCAGAACGTACTCTTTTGAAATGAAGTACTTCGTAATGTGCGACGATGCAATCAAGCAGATCGCACAGGCAAGCACAAATGAATAGCCCTTCGTGAACCTCGGCCCCTCGACCGTCTTGAAAACCAATAGCGGCGTCCACGCCGTCGTAGACTGTGCAATAGTGTTTAACACAATCAAGATAACTGCCCGCTCGTCAGGCGAATGCCGTATCTCGCTGTTGATCCAGCCCATCAGCACACTGGACATGGCCACAGACGAATACATCGTCGAGAAAGCGAACCACAGCGCCGACTCCGGCACATCCCAGATAACCTGAATCACCAAGCCAATGATATTCCACACATGCGCAAGCGTAATAGCCCACGCCGGACCCAGGACCAAATCTGATGCGAAGCACACAAGCAGGGTGTAAAACATCCCCAGCCCGGGCGCGATCGCAAATAGCTCATTCACCTTGCTAGTCGAGTACCGATTCAGACTCTTCAACCAGAGAAGGTACCCACCCGTGTTGGTTTGCACGCACGCGTTCCAAAAGAAAATGTCCACCAACAACAACGCCCAGAACTTCCAGTTCCGTAGCACCCGTACACAAGTTCTCCATGAGACGTTGGATTCTTGGACCCCGTGTCCGGCTTTTTGGAGTCGAGTCCTTACGAGTTGGATGTCGGATTTGCTTAGCACAATTCGGTTCGGTTTGTCTGGCGTTCCGGGGAGGACTATGAATCCCAGGATGCCGACGGGGATGGTGATCACCGCGCAGATGATGTACATCCACCGCCATCCGGCTAGGCCGTTTACTCCGTCTAGTTGCGCGGATGCGCCAGCTTGGATGAAGCTTGCTGTTAGGGTGCCCAGCGTCAGGCCGAGGTAGAAGAAGCCTCCGCGTCGGGCGATTTCGTGGCTTTGGTACCATGAGCCTGGTTTTGATGTTAGCTATTTGTTGGGCTGTACTCCTAGTGGGTTGGACATACCGAATATGTAATGCATCCCTGGGAAGAATGCAGCCTGACGACAGGTCAGTAATTGGATTCCAATTGAGGTAGTGATAAATTGGGGATATACCTCGAACCATCCCACCAAGAATCGATATGCCATCATTTCCTCATACGAAGTAGCCCGGTATTGCAGCAAAGTAAAGACCCCCCAGAGCAGATCCATCCCGGGGATGAGCCACGAGATGGGGTATTTGGTGAACAGGTAAGCAAATGGGAGTTGACCTAGGACAGCGCCAACGGTGTAGATAGTTTGAAGGTTGACGAGGTCATTCCCTTTGAGGTTAAGGGATTGTTCCATTCCAGAGACGTAGGCATTGTCTGTTGACAAGTGTCATTGTTAATGTTATTGCGCCAATTGGTATTGACAAAATGGAGGTACTGAGTGGGTGAAACTCACTAATATTTGCCTGGTCAATATATTTGGTCCAGTAAGCGAGAAAAGCATAAGGAACGATGAGGAGATCGAGTTTGAAGAGGAGACGTCGTTCCGCTGGGGAGTCGTCAGGCGAGAACCATGTTATCCTGGGAAATTTCATAATGGAAAACACTGATGTGTATGTGTATGGCTTAAAGTTGCATGAAACTCGAGGAGTGATTGAAGACTACTGATATACTCGAATTGCAATGCGCTGGCAGATGCATGGGGACGTTAATGTCACCATAGCATTACTTGTATTACGTGACAACTGCCTATCTACTGCATCTTCCTGCAGCTGCATGTGTCGTGTAAATCACCGGATGGTGAGTTTATTCTTCCTGCCTATCTGTTCAAGGTGACTGGACGGCAGGATAAAGCTTGAATTGTCTGTGCGGTGTGGGGTTCAGCACGGGGTGGTGTCACTGGGGGGTAGGAAGGCGTGCTTCTTGGCTGAGTGGTGATAGCAGTAGCAAGTGGATCAGATACGATGTTGATTGCTTGGTGGGAATGAGGTGATTTGCGGAATGAGAGACACCCATGTGTCAACAATCTCACCAGTACTGAATTCATTCATCTTCATCAATCAGTGTATGACGATTATCGGATCATCTATTACTAGTATACCGGATTACTTCTAAGATATGCTTCGCTGTCTACTTCCTTGTGACTCAAAGGAAGCATATAGCTTCAACGGGTGTCTACGAAGTATACATACATTGCGAAGCAGTGAAGTCAGGTATAATATTCCAGGTAATTGGTTCACCGAGTAATGTCTTCTGGCTCAGTAATGTCAGTTGTAATATCAATATCTAGGCATGTGGTTCGAAACACACTTATCTTCAGATACTAAGACTTAGAGGTAGAATGAATGGCTTGGCTGCTGCAACAGTGCCGATACCGGGACGAGATACTAGTTGTGCAGGGATCATCCGGCATTCATATACAACCTGATATAGAAGACTAGTAGAGAAGTACATGCTGCACGCCTAGAACGTGGGGGTAATCGACTAGAAACGGTTTGGAAACATTAAAGACCAATCCTTTCTGGTAGCACAAAAATGCATTTCTCAGGCTCGCTGACGCAGAGAGACGCTGCCATCCCATAAGTACGGAATAATACCGCTGAGAACACAGGTTATTGACATGATCTACAGTGCAGTTTCCTGCGCGAGATTAGCTTCGACGCAAGGATGGAGAGTCCGCCCAGAGAGCTGGAGCCATTTACATGTCTTCTCGCTATGCAGCCTTAAGACAGTGTCATGATCATAGAGACAGATATCCGGAGACCCTTCTCTGAGGGCGAGACAAGAGAAGTGGTTCTTGCCAAATTGATATCACTCCTAATGTCATGTTGCCGAAACAGTAGTTATAGAAGCCCGGCAGGTTCCTTGTTAGTTGGGAGCCACATACTGAGGTTCGATCAATTATTCAATCAGCTTGAAGAGGCACGAAAGAGTCGCTGTGCATGTATCCATCGACGATGATCCATGGAAGCGCCCAATCTGAGGGACCGATTCTACTCCGTATATCAGCACTGTTCGAAAACTTCATATTGATGAAGTGGAAGACGAAATAAGCCATGTGTAATGAGATCTACATCATGCATGCCAGCACCCTACTGGGTCCTCGTCAAATGCATCGCTTCTTGATATGCGAGTGGATCCAAGCGTAGCCTGGAATGTGGCGACCGCAGATATCAGTGGCCCCAAGAATGCGTCACGCTCTACTTTTTTTAACGCGGTGTAACAATACAAATTCTGGGAGGCATGCAAGATTGAGCAGGACTTTTGTACATAAAGAATGATCCTTAGTAAACGCATAATCAGGTTTCTAAGTGTAACTAAGTATAGAGGGGCGGTGTCTGACTGCTCCTATAGCATTCCTTCCTTTCCGTTTCTGGAAGTCTCGAGGGCTTTCAAACAGCAAGGGGCATGGTGAGCTGAAGGGGAATTTGTAGGAATTTGAGCAGTGGAATAGCACACAAGAATCCCTTACAAGTACCTTATACGGTCGCTCCAATCAGTGCATGGGAATAGTAGTTTGCTCTTGATCGAAACCAAGGAGTATTACCCTGTGATGGCCATGGGCAACTACTGAGGACTTTAATCGATTATATAAACTGCGACGTCAACTAATATACCATTATCACATGTTAGCCATATTTTGCGAGCAATGTGGAGATGATAAGGTTATGGTATATTGTATGAGTCCTACAATAATACGACGGAAAAGTACGATCAGGTATTTGAGGAATATCAAAATAGTGGTATGTAATTGCTCAGGTAGAAGGAACATCAATCCTTACCATGGACCGCATTGTTTAGCTTCCGGTCGGGATGATCCTCGCTTGTAAACATGTCACCCAAGCTATGAACTATTCCCGCAAAATTCAAGAGGTAGTATGATTTTGGAAAGTAAAATTAGATACATGTTTGAGAGCGGTTGTAGCTCCACGTGTGAGAAGATTCACAGATGCCTTCGAATGATGGCAGGGATGGTGGGTCTGACAGGTGTATCAAAGCTCAGCCCAGTCCAGGCTAAACCCCCGCATATGCAAGATACTGTTACCCTTCTTTAACATTGAAGCTCCGTGAAGACATATTGCAGTGATCTTTTATCACTGTCCAAGTGATTTGATACGAACTCCTGACCCTGGGAAAGGGGAAAAGGGAAATCCGGGCGAAATCGGGATTGGCGGGGACGGATTCGGATGACGTCGAGGGCAGGTGGGGTAGCTTCACTGCTACTCCGTTACGGTGTGTCTGCTCGGCCTCGCATCTCGGCTCTTTTCTTTCCCCAGCTTCATTTAACCCTGTTGTAATCTCTTCCTCAGCTTCCTTCTTCTTCTTCTTCTTCTTTTCCCCCTCTTCCATTTTCTCATCCATCCATCCCACATCCATCCCGATTCATCCCAATTCATCCAACTCATTTTCCCTGTGCGTCCGCTATCCGCCTGTTCTTCTAACATGTTCTCCAGACAGCTTCTGACTCTCCCACTAAGAAGGTCCTTCTTGACCCCCGTCACACCCCTCTCTAGTCGTATCGTGCGCCCTCTTCACTGTTCCTCTGCAGCCATGTCTGGTGTCAACAAGGCTTGTTGCTCGTGAGTAATGAATGCCCTGTCAATGGCTTACCTCCAATGCACCGTCCTCCATACTCACCGTGACCAGCATCCCCCCGATCGTGGCCCAGGGCTACCAGGGCAAGGGCGAATACAAGACCATCAATGGCTTGAAGACTTGTACGTCAAATCCAATCGACCAGAGAGATCCAGCTAATTCCCTACCCAGACGTCACTGGCCCCGAATCTGCTACCAAGGCCATCCTCGTCATCTACGGTAAGATGGACCCGTCCCCGATCTGTCCCAAGCTCCATGCTAAGTTTCATGATCACTTCCAGACATTTTCGGTTTCTTCCCCCAGACCATCCAGGGTGCCGATATCCTGGCCACCGCGAGCGAGCAAAAGTACCGCGTTTTCATCCCCGACTTCTTCCAGGGCGAGCCTGCCGACATCACCTGGTTCCCTCCTCAGACCGACGACCACAAGCAGAAGCTGGGTAACTCTTCCAGACCAAGGCTGCTCCCCCCGCAAACCTGCCCAAGATCCCCTCCATTGTCTCCGAGGCCAACAAGCTTGCTGCTGGCGGCAGCTTCCAGTCCTGGTCGATCCTGGGTTACTGCTGGGGAGGCAAGATCACGACCCTGGCGTCTGGTCAGGATAACAAGCTGTTCACGGCGGCGGTGCAATGCCACCCGGCGATGCTCGACCCCAACGATGCCAAGAGTGTCAACATTCCGATGGCCGTGCTGGCCTCCAAGGACGAGAACCCTAAGGATGTGGAGGCGTTCGGTGCCAACTTGAAGCAGGCCAACTATGTTGAGACCTTCTCCACCCAGATTCACGGATGGATGGCTGCTCGCTCCAACCTCGAAGATGAGCAGGTGCGCAAGGAGTACGAGCGGGGATACCGGACCGCACTGGACTTCCTCCAGAAGCACGCCTAAACAACGTGATGGTCAACATGCCATAATGAAAGGAATTGAATAATGAATTTAGTTTACCCAAAAGTGTACGTATGACATTCAGCGAATGCCCAAGCACAATTTCATTATGATTGTGACATCCATCTGCATTCCGACTCAGCTGTAGATGTATACTTCGTTGTAGTATGTAGTAGATAGTGGGTTAGTGATTAGTAGTCCCCATCCCGGTCGGACCATCTTGCCCGACCGGGCCATGCCACTCCCGCGTCTAGATTGCCGGGGAGCCGGATGGCCGACGTCATCGCTGGAGTTCCATCACCAGACTCATTCGCTTTCTTTGTCTCTTCCACCTCCCTCATCAGTCCGGATGCAGCCATCCCCTATCACCTTACCAGTGGACTGATCGGTACTAGCTGGACTAGATCTCTTTTTTTCTTTGGCTTCGTCCCCCACATCAATTGTTTATATCCTCCCAACTCTTCTTGTAACCTCTCATTCGGGAGACCGCAATGAGTGAGGACATCATTCGAGTGTGGCAGCGTATCTGTTGGTCTGACTGATATCGCCCACACATTGTTCCTACCCTTATTCTCCATTACACAATATCAAAAGAATCGTACCTGTTGGTCTCCGACGATAACAGAATGTCGTTTTTCTTTGGACGCCGCCATTCCATCTCATCCGCCACTCTGAGTCAGGGCGATAACCTTCCCAGAAGTGAGAGGGGGAGGAGAGCCTCATTACCCAATGTGTCCGATCCGAACAATACCGGCTCCCACGCTAAAGGTGTGATCCACGACATATTCCACAAGCATCGAGGGGACTCGGAAACAGGCTCTTCAACTGGGACAAAGACGCCTAAATCGGTAAGGATATTGGCGCGGTCAAGGAGCTTTGCTACGGATAGACTCTGACCGACTTAGAAGACTGATACAGCCCGATCCAATTCCACAAAGCCGGATACCCACTCCCAGGACGAGCAACCTGGTTCCCACCACCATTCGGAGCAGGCTGCCAAACCTCGTCAATCACACCATTACGAGGGTCCATCTTCACATAACCAGCTGACGAAAAAGGACATCGAAACGATATTTTCGGGAGCTCCATACTTCCTGCTGGAGAAGGGAAAGCATGGGCTCTTTTACCCACAGATAATATTCCCTTTTGATGATCACGATCCCACCATTCAAAGTCTCGGGGATAGACGGCCGCTTCCTCATGCCTCCTACACCCTGTGTACTCTTCATGCTCATTTGCCAGTACCGGACGACTGGGTGATTGAAGGGGAAACGCCGGTTCATCTGGGGCATTGGAAACGATCGGAAGCTCCGAAGCGGGCGACTTTTGATGTTGGAGTTCACGAAGTACCCAATATGCTGTCAGTCAATGGCAAAGACGCTGGTACGATCGGTTTCCGTCACTTCCTCGAACTGCCCGTCGCCGACTCGGTCTTATACGCGGGGCCCGTGAAACCACGACCATGCTCTGACCTCCTTCACATCTCATCGCTACCAGCAACCGAGGCGTATGAATTGATGGGGCACTATAACGACCCGTATGCCCAGTGCGCGGATGGTACCATCCATGACCGGAAGAAGTTGCTCTGCGAAGGACCGGTAGCTTGGAAGAGGATCGGTGTCCGCGATGTCGACTTGCGAGCCCTAGTGGAGCGTCTCCAGACCCTGAAGACCCTCCGCTACGACATTCTGCACGGGGAGGCCCCAAAGACGATTCTAGACACAGAAAGCACTCGAGAGCTGTACAGTGGACTGTTCAATCGGTTTCTGTACCCACCGGTGCGGTTTCTGCTTGCGGATGCCGGCGATCCTCATAGTTTGAAGGCTCAAATCAAAGCTCTGACAGTGGTTTTGGCTACCCCTGGGGCGTGGTTTGACTTCAGTCTGATCGATTGGCGATTGCATCTTGGACAAGTACTGTTTGAGAATCCCCCACACAGCGACGGCGACTTCCTTGATCCGGACAAGTCTGACAAACCCTGGGTGCATTTCACACTGGAACGCAAGTGGCTTCTCGTCCAGATGCTGCTCGCTGCGGAGCTACTAATGCGTTTGGATGCCACTGTTCGAGTAGGAATGCTGCAGAATGCGCGGGATATCGATGTCTCGGTGCATGATGTGTACGAGTTTGACCGGCTACGTAGTGGTAAGCTGAATTGGGACCTGGTTACAGTTCGACGATTTCTAGACAGCTTTCGCTTTGCCTACAACCCTGTGGAGCCGGACAACCCTTCTCCGACCATACCTGCACCGAGCAAGTCGCCTGAGCGGCATCATCATCGTGGATTCCTCGAAGCCTTCACACACCACTCGACATCATCCGCCCATAATGATGAATCCGCCTGGCGGTGTCACCTAACTCCCAGCCATGTTGACCAGCAACTAAAAGGATTGTTCGTTTTTGCAGACAACATTGGCTGGCCAGGACTGGATACATTCAAGAGTGCACTGCGATCCAAACTTGAGGGTGATGGTGTGGAAAAGAAAATCGAAGCCGCCTACACCATACCTCTTACCAATGCGCTACCTGCGGAGTATTCCACTACGGACTTGACAAAAGAGATCTATAGCAGATCTCCATCGCGCCGGTTGCTCCTCCTTCATTCTCCTCACAGCATACGTCCCCTGAACATTGGAGGTTGGATCACGCGTAGCTGGCTCGCGGGGTTGGTAATCCCTGGCGAGTCCATCAGCCACCTTCTCATGGCAACCATCCTAGAAAATGACGAAGAGGCTATGGCTACACTTGGTCCAGTCGCGAACGTTTATGGTGGTTTCACGTACAAGGGAAAGACCTGGTGGAGTAAGAAGTGCATTGTCGGACGAGTATTGGCAAGCCAACCGGGTACTAAGGTCTGTTTGGCGTGGCTGGCAAGCTCTATATTGCCCAAAGACTCGGAGAGTGGAGAGCGATTGGTCAACACATGGTTTGAGGTGGATGTCCGCGAGCCGCCCCGGCGTCCAGGCAAGCCACGCATCAAACACGGAAACAGGCTGTCCTTTGACTCTACGCCGCTTGGCTTGGGAGAGCTTACGAGTGGAGTATTCTTGCTGCCTGTCGATGGCCCCTCCGATAGCTGGTCGAAAGCAAACATTAACTTCCAGGACCTCACCTTCTCCCTCGATGCGAAACGAACAGACAACAACCTAACCGTAGTTAAAAAGGCCTTTGCCAGTTTCCTTCTCGCTTCCACTGCTACCGGGCCAACCCCAGTGTCGTTTGAATTGGCCTACAATGTACGATTTATTTCTTCCCACGAGTGCCGTCCACCCGGGGGGTCGGTCAACTATCAGAATCACCCAAGCGCCCCGGATGGCGGGTCATCATCTTCGTCATCAAGCCATGTCTCCCATAGACACCACCGTTTGCCGGGCCACCCGTTGCACCGATCGTACGCGTACAAGTGGGTTCCTCTAGAATCCCTTTCGGAGACATCTCACTCGGATAGCCACAGCAGCGGACTAGTTAAGGAAGAGATCCTCCTTCTTGACGCGCGGGGCTCGCACGACAAGGAAACATTTGCACGAGCATGGTGTGCGTCTGTTGGACATCATGCCGTCATTGGCAAGGTTGGACGGACCTGTCTGGCATGTTGCATTCGAGAAGCCCGAGCGTTACAGGTGAAGGTGGTGATTCGCATTGGGGACGGGATGTCGACGCCCTCTTCGTCGATCCAAGTATTGTATGGTGGAGAGTAGGATAGATTGATTGGTTGGTACTTAGAAGAGTCTGGTTTCGGTCGCACGTAGTGATGCCTGCCAATTTCCCGTGTTGTTTGTATGTAGTAGTATCCTTCAAGACTCCTCTGATCTAGACATGGCTATTTGTAGGTAGCTGCCTGGTAGTCTGGAGGTTAGCTGCGTAGTGTTACGGTGCACGGGATCCTTCCCTACAGGTCGGGGCTGTTTGCCAGAAAGGCAAATACCCGTTTGGTGTCACCCACTCCTTCGTCTTCCTTTCTTGTTCTTCCTTGCTCTTTTGATCTCTTCTTCAGAGGTGGGGATTTCATCCCGGGTGGCCTTCTTCTGAGCCATAAATACTTCCAGGCCTCCAGAGCATCTTCCGTCGCTTCTCATCCCCATCACTTCCTATATACTACTGCTTTTCTTATATAATATTTCGCAATTCTGTATACTATACGATGCTGCTCTATACAGCCCATCAAGTCAGACATCTTTCCCATTCATTTTACCTCTCTGTGCTGGTTTTTCAGCTTCCTCGTGAAAGACAATTCGTCTTGAATCCGGGCGAGATGCGCCCTGTGGAATTGTATCGACAGTGATACGGTGCTGATTGGGCACGGTATCAGAAATGATCTTAATTGCCTTGGGATAATTTATCCTAGGATAGTCGGCTCGACTATCCTTGCAGCAGAAGCGGTTTCAGGGGACCTAGTTATTGAAGACTCTGCCAAGGATGTTTTTCGAAAGGTTTATTCCGGGTGGCTCGAGTAGGTACAGTGCGCTACAAGATGCTGTTGCTAGGAAGGATGTGGTCATATTCTGCCTTGACCAGCCCGAGTATTCAAAAAATTGGGCGAAATTCGCGAGAAGAGGATAGGATATGCTCGACGACCATGAAATTTCGATATCTCTTGTGGTTGATGGTGTGCAGGTCTCGGATTACCTGTGAGGTAGAGTTGTCTATCGTCTACTCTACTCTCCACAGCTAATGTCTCTAGAAATTCCAGATAACCTACCTCAATACGACTTCCGGATATTCCTGCGAGAAAACTTCACCATTCTATCCTCATTGGCTGCTTCCGGCATTCCTTGGCCCTTCCCACAAATGCCGGGTTATACTTGTTCATTCGATTCCACAGTGTGCTCAGATTCTTTGTGCAAAGGGATTCGGAATCTGCACATAATACGAACGATGGTAGGATTATGGAAACATAGATCAAGGGAGGGGATAACCACATGGTGAGCCATCTAGGTCAGATTGAATTTCGCATGGAGCTAATCAATGTTGATTTCTACAGGCTATGAACATCATGGTGGCTCTCTGCCTCACACATTCGAAGATGTCGGCACAGCTGTTTTCAACAATGAAGACTAGTTGGCCGACAGAAGTCTTCCATTACATGATTCGAGTGGGGAATTATGCGAACATCCCTGGAACCTGAATTTCTAAGAAGATTCTTTTCCCCCAGCCACACCTCTGTTGCGTCTTGTCCCAATCCATGTATTTGCCTCACAATCCCTAAACCTGTGGTATAAATCGCAAAACTAACAGCTCGAAGAGAGGTGGCTGTAGTACAAGGGGCCATGTTATAGACCGTTGTGAATTCTCATCGACAAAACGTGGCTGGATATAGCAACAGCTGCCACTGGACAGGCTTTCCAAACAACAGGCTTTCTCAGTTCCTTGCCTGAAGCCCTCCCCATTGCCTGCGCTCCACAGCCGTCATTGCCACTGCTTCGAGAGCTGGATGATCTCACACTATACAACAACGAGGAACGCGAACAGCAGCTTCCCAATGCGCCCAGCAAGGAGGTCGGGCCTTCTGGTTGGGGGATGCAATCCCTCGGAGCATTGACCTCACCATTGCACCGAATGAACGGTCTCTGGCACCGCCGGTCGAACAGGATCCATGAAGGCGGAGCCCCCGACCAGTCCTCAAGTACCTGTCTTGCTACCTGGGTGATTTTGCGCCAAACAGTAGTCAAATAAGAAGGCTATGAGTAAGTAGTACCAATGTTCGTGAACTTGGAAACAATACTGACAGGCCATCATGTAGCTGCTACCACTTCGACTACCCTTAACGCTCAGGTCTAGACCGCAGCTACTTAGCCTACACACATTCTTTGGTGCAATCGTAGTCCAGAACGTGACTCTCGCACTATAATATTCGGTGGCATGTTGCTTGCTTCTTCGAACAGAGGATCCAAGCAATCGGATTCCGGTGTCTTGAAGCAACGCTTATGATATTTAATCATGCGCAAACCCTACAACGCCGGATTTTTGTTATCAGTGTAAGTCCTTGCTCCTTGCCAATCATGTGCATTTCTGGGTTTCAGCTAAGATCCAACAGACTTTATACAGTTCTTTCATCAACAGTCAGCCGACTGGGTCATATTTGGTCTCTCTGGTGTATCCTCCTCGAGCACGAGAGTAAAAACCATTGGCAGCTGTATTCGGATTACAACTGGAAATGGATGTTAGGTTGATATGCTTAAGTGGTGACATTACGCCGCCCCATTCGGGTCTCCTGCTTAGTAGGCCAGATGGTGCATGATCGTGACCACTCGAATAGTGTTGCGCAAAAGAGCGCTTCAGTTGCTTCCACCGCAGCCCTTGGTCGAAAGGCTACAGCCTGGACACTAGCGACAAATACATGGCGTTACAGGCACGCGGGGTCAGTACGTCAGTTCTGAAGCCCTCGAGAACGAGCTTCCATAGCAGGATCATGGAGAACCATTGTCGGAGGTAGCGGCAGAGAGGGATCCCATCAATCAGTACAGTCAACAATGATGGCTGTCGATGAGACAGCACGACCGGAGAACATGAAATCGGCTTTGTTCTTGGGGTGACCAGGATGCGATCAATGCAGACAATACTTCATCAGAAACATCCATATTCTTTCTCTTCTGGGTATTGTCCCCAACATGACATTTTCTATTGATATATCGCCGTTGGATGCTCTCAAAGCTGCGAATTTGGCCTTCAAATGTCCCACTGCCGCCAATGTCTGCTTGGATGTTCCATGGCACTCTCATCCCGATCAGCTCTATCGTCGGCAGTTTCGGTGGTCGAGGTTCCTATGGTTCGATATCCACGAAGACTGGAGTGCAGGGCTTTCAAAGCACTATGTGCAAATTCTCTGTTGTTTTTGAAGACAAATGGCTTCCTGCAAGATGCTACTGGAATGTGTGGATGCTTTGAAAGCTTTGGAATTACCATCATCCATCTAGTGCTACCTCCAACTAGACACTGTTCGTTTTTTGAATGCGTCTCTTCCTCCTACAGAACTAGGCGTTATGAGAAGAGGGACGCGTGCCTTTATGCTTAGCATGTAGTCTGGAAAACCAGTGGGACAACTCCGTATCCGTCGCTTGACCCCGAACCGTCCCACCCTCCGCCCCATAATTTGGATCTTTATCTGTTGAATACGGCTCCGGTGTCCAAGAAAGGCCTTAAACATACCCATACAGAGAAAGATACAAACTATATATGATGCCTCTAACCTTTTTCTGGTGCGGTACTGGGTTGTAGTTTACCGACTTTTCCCGTCAACTATACGTGAGGCAAGCACCCCCGAGGTAAACTGATGTCCACACATAAAACCAGTGCCCCATCGCGACGATTTTCTGATTGTGTATTTCCTCATAATGCGGGAGTCTGTCGTAACCCAACGGGCTTTCTTCTTCGAGCAGTCGTTGGCCACTCCTATTGAGAGCCAGTGCTGAACCCCTTGAAAGTGGTTCTGTCCTTTCTATTAATGCAAGTACATCAGGGACTACTTCATATGGCATGGCCAAGCTGAGAGAAACTGTTCTCCACGAGCAGATACCATGGCAACGGATATGGCTATCACTTGTGCCTATCATCCCAGAATCTGTCAGCCTACATACGAGTAGACAGACCCGGGGCCGGGGATTTACGAACACATCGACTTGAAATGGGATCAGTCTTCTAAAAGGTGACACGGTTGGAATGACACTTTGCGAGTTCCTATAGGCAATGGTTTCATTCCTGAATCACTCCAAGTCTCCCAAATTCACAATTTCTTTGGAAGACGGCGGCAGATATTACATGCAGGCCCCATTGGTAATTGGTCGCTGTCCAAAATCCAAGCCAGTTAATGTCTCCGAACATTGACACCAACAAGGTTTTCCTTGGGATTCCGAAAATGAACTTCTGTCGATCTGCTTAGTGATGCTCAGCAGACTAATTTTCTCGCCTGGAGCCGGAGTGTGGATGATTACTGGCCTTGTTGGAAGAACTTGAAAGTGCTGACTCCACTAGATCGCCAGTCAAGCCGAGCCTCCTTATCGTAAAAAATCATGCCACATTCCAATGGCTCTGGAAATCATTTGACAAGAACAAAGGAATGGCACAGCTGGCCCTGAATGCACACAATACGGCACCCACCTCACCGTCTTTCTTTTCACTTTGGGCCATTGCTTACGCTCAGAGTGATCGTATACTCAGCATCTTCGCTCCACTTAAACGCTATCTCTAATACAAACACGTCAAAGACTGCGGCACTAGCATATTCCCCCAAAGAGGACTGTGTGAATGTTGCAAAGAAGGAAAAATGGGTTGGATTTCTTCCCCATATGCAGACACCTTATTTTTCCTCTATCAAAACCGGTTACTCCATCACCTGAAGAAAATTTTCCAGATGAGAATACTCCAACTTAAACGACAAGAATCAGTGATCCTGCTAAATGACATTGAGAAAACCCCCAGGGAGCTGGAATAGGCATTACCCTGATTCTTCGGAAGATTTGCACACCTCACTCTCGCACCAATAGACCTGTCGGTAATCCCAGTGATGTACCGGATGGATACTTGAACATATGAGACGGCCTACTAGCCGTGGCGACTCATCAAGGAAAGGACAACTTGCTGAACTCGACAAAGCGATTCTTGATCTCGAATCACAAAAAGTGGATGAGTCGATGCAGGAAGCTAAAATAGAAATAAGGCAAAGAGAAAAGAACAGAACAAATGAGATATTCCCAACTACTCGAAAGATTTGGAAGTCCATCTATTCATGGGGCCAGGAAGTTCAAGAGCAGATGACCGACGTTGACGAGGAGGAAACCTCTGACCGTGATGTCGGGGATCCTATGTTCTATGTTTGCAATTCTTTGTATGAGTCTGCGCAGCTCTAAGGAAGAAGGAGGAAAGGCTCGAGTCTAGCCCCGACAGAGTACGATCGGATAGTATGATCGGTTTTCCTCTTTCATTTCATTCACATCGCAACCTAAAAAGTCGAATTCGTCCGTGAACATCACCTCTGTGCTTGCAGTCAATTCCATGCAAAATACCTCTTTCTCGGATGAAGACATCTATACTATTTAAATTCTGTGGAAGCTACGATAACGTATAGAAGCTATATAGATGAGAAGAGATTCTATCATTATTTCCTTTCCCAATTTCTAAAGCGCGCTACATACAGTATAAAGAAAAGTTATAAATTCTGAAGGGTATTATAGTAGCATAGATAGTGATCAGAAAATCCCATATAAGTTTTAATAAATACATCAATATCTATAGATTAGCGTTCGAAAAACTTACAAGTTACTAATTACTACAATGCCTGAGATACCTCAATCTGAGTGCGGGAGGAAAGAGTTGCTCTACGTATAATACTAATAGAAGGCCGTTTCGGATGGGAAGTACGTTGTTCAAATGGCTTGTTAGTAAAGAAGTATCCATCAATAGTACATCTCACTTGATGTCCCTATAATGTGAGAGCTATATCAGATGTGTTTCTGGGGTGATGGATCAATTATATATTCTGGGATACTACTAACGCACCACAGCAACGAATTTTCACACACATCATGGGAGTCTATTGGTCTTTGGGCGGATAATACGAAAGAAGAAAAGTAGTAGTGCTAATATGTGCTAAGTGTTTCTCTAGTTTTTGATTCATATGGATTTCCGGAGGACGTACTGGTAGTAGCTATTGTGTGTAAGCTGAGGTTGACTTAATATATTTTCGGTAACGCTGCCGTGTACTACTAAGTGCCTTTACGGGGACAGTCGGAGGGATAACAAATCCAAATAATACTATCATTGGAAAAAGTAAGAATTCGAATAGGTTTCGATGGTTCGCTACCATGCATGAACACTAAGATGCTACAGTGAAGTTCTATACGTTGCGCCTATCCTATGAAAAAAGTCCCGAAAACTTCTGAGTGGAATTGCCAACATTGCTCCAATAATTTGTTCGTTCCTCTCGAAGGAGCGGAAACCATGTCTTCCAATCCCTCTTACCGGTCGGTAATCATAGCTTGGCTTGCGGTTAGTCTTATTTTGCATTGCTGCAAGGTATGTTGGCTGGATATTAAACCCGACGTCTAGGTGGATTTTGATTCGACCTGCATGTGGATTGATGCAGAAGATGTGGGGACACTGGATGCTCCCGAAAACAAGATGTCTAAGACCTGGTCTGAGCAGCACTGGTCTTTATCCCGGTATGTAGACGGACAAGAGACTATAGTCTGCGAAAGGTGTACTCTTGCTTGAAATTGTAGTGAGGACTCTTAGGCACCATCTTTTTCATCGCGTTTGAGAGTAAAATCTGAATGACCTTCCTCTGTCGTACGATGTTGGCTGGTGTATCCCGATTGAAGCAGAGGGCATCATGCAGTGTAGTAGGGTCAGTTTTGGACTCGGAGCATGCTGTCAAGTGTCTATACGGACATCGAGTTCGTACCGGACACTCAAGAAGAAAATGTCGTCTGTCTGTGTAGCCATCAGCCCTCAACAGACCGATATTAGCGTGAGTAGGCCGGCAAGCGACTCCAAGCTGCTGTATTCGATCCATCCATACTCCGTTGCCACTAGCGTTCCCTTTCCTTGGCGGTTCGTAGCTTCAACTTTCGTCCGACAGCTGTAATCAACTCAGCAACAGACGGATTGCCACGTTGTGATAACATCCTGCCTTTGTACCGCATCCACCTTTGTAGAGTGCTAGACCGTCTTATTCTTCACCACCCGGTGAGACTAGCGTCTGCTACGTCTCTCATGGCCCCTTGTATGGCAGAACAGTGGATGCATACACCTTGCGGTATTATCTTGGCTGCGGTAATCTAAGGACTTCATCTGTCAGTCGTTTTCTCTCACGTGGCTAATTGTTGTCTCGAGATCGCGTTCAGTGAGCTGTGCTCTTACCTTCGTTGTCCTCAACGTAAGCCAAGCGAGTGCACCATAATCAAGTCAAGGGCATTGAACTTGTCATTGTCATGGTATTGAGTCACCGCAGCAGGTGATCTGCAGTCACAGCCCTTTTTCTTAGACTAAATGGCATTTCTCCGTTGAAGTGACTGACTGTTGTTGTAAGCATGTTATTCTGGGGCGATGAAAGACGAGGAGGGGCCTTGGAATAATATCCGAGCTTGGACGGTCCAGTATACCGCTTCTAGAATTGTTCTTCAGATGGGACTAGAATCGTGGCATCACTGAAGAGAACCAGTATATCCTCGTCCTTTCCTGCGCAGTCGTAAAACTAATCCGGTATATCAGCCTCGAGCGACGGCCAGTGGTTATGCCGCGGAGGATCCTAGACAAGATAGAAGAAGGGGATATTTAGTTCGGAACAGCAAATTAGAAAGTCAAGCACTGGGAGTATATGCTAACTGAAGGAAAGCTCCGAATGCCGGTGAGATAGATCAAGTGTCCACATTGAGCTGACACCTCCGTGCGGTCATGTCTCGATCACGCGGCTGATGGGTCTCTGCTGTAGCTTTCGATATTATTCTATGTCTCCGCAAGGAAGATGGTTAGTTCAGTGCTAATATCTCGTTCAATGATCTTGTTTTGAGATAGGAACCGCCGGATCTGTGCGTTTCTGGGAATGGTCGCTTGAAATTTCTCTGCGGTCTGGTGGATCCTGAGTGTTTGTCTTCCTTGACCATAGTAGAAGTACTCGGTAACTTGCAATGCCAAGGTAGAACAAAAGAGCAGTCACATTATCCACTCCGCAGTCCAAAGTAGATCAAGTGAATCTCGAAGGAATAGGATCGTGGTTCTTCAGACGCTAGTGATCGTCTCTGAAGGAAGTTGCGGTCAACGCCGACTACCCGGATTGGTGCTAGCCGATATCTAGTAACTACTCGCGGGGCAGGTCTAGTACTATCTATGGAGGGGGGAGGGATACCTGGATCCCAGTCACGGAGGTTTACCGGCAAGTATGAGTACATGGAGAGGGGAGACTGAAGACATAAAGGTACATATGACAGAAGTCCCGAAAGTACTCCCGACGTCTGCATCGAAGGACGATAGATACTTTGAGTGGGATGGGTATGTCTCAGGCAGCAGTCAAAACAGCCACTTCCGCTGTCTCTTTCCCCAACCAGCAGGCTACACTATTCGCGTTCTTCATTTGCATCGCCCCCGGTATCATGTGCTGGCAATAACCCATCCAAAAGGCCGTATACGGACTCAGTGGGTCATGTGAGGGAATGAAAGGTGGTACGGTTACCAATCTCGAGTGGTGTGTTAGGCAGCGGAGAGAGGGATGTAGGGGGGTCAAAAGGCGCTATATAGGTGATACAAACATGTATATGCTGCTGTCCTTCATGCTGCCAAACCCACCATGAACCCGACTCTGGCTAGGATCTCGTGTTTGCAACGCCGTCATGACACCGACCGAAAAGCCAATCGCGACCGCAGCATTCTTCATCCAGAATTCACCGGGACGTGAGGAAGGGTTGATATACGAGCACGCCAGATGCCAAGCACCAGACACAGTTTCTCTTTAATTGCAATCAAGATTTTGCGGCTTTTCCAATCGGCGCGATGCGTCCAGGGCACAAGACAACACTAAACCCAAACTCCCTTCTATACCAGAAGGGTGTACTGCGTGCCCGACACACGCCTTACCACGAGTGGAAAGTAAGCAAGCAACCAGGCTAACCTTTAGTCCGGCACTCCCAGGGTTAGAGCAAGACCGGCTTGTTTCATCCTCGCGGGCACTTGTCTCTAAATGGACATGCTCGACTGGAATGCTGAGCGTGTAAACTGGGGTCCTTACGTGTCCTGCGTAGAGCTTTGCCGAAGGAAAAGTGTGGGCGGGTATAATCTCGATTAATGCACTCGATGTTGGAACAGGAGACGGTGCATCGCTTCTCCCTCCGAATTTTACTCAAGTAGTACTACTTACTGTAAAATAAAAGTCTGTGCTGAAAAGCCATATGGCTGACGCCCCTATTTTTCGTTTCTTTTTTTTTCCTTTTACCTCTTGGGTTGAATTTTTCTTTTTTTTCTTTTTTGCTTTTTCAATAACCGTTGCGGTCAGTCGATAAGAGTGCGTCGCATGGTCCGCCAACCGTAGGGCGCCGAAATTGTTTCATAGATAGGCAAACCTATCTAGGCACCATTTTGGGTACCCCTGCTAGACAGGGATGCTTTGAACTTTGACAATCACTTTTTTTTCTTATATGTCACAATCGATAGATCTTGTTCCTCCGAGGAATTAGTAAACCAACAAAGGAAAAAGCAAGAAAAAAAGAATGAATGGACAAACAAAATGGGGGAACAAACGACCCACGAACGTCAAGGATCTCCGGGCCGGCAGAGACCCTTGAGATCGAACAAACAGAAAACCGAAGAAGCTCGGGGTCCGGAAATCCGTTCAGGGTCTGTTTCGGATGGATAGATCACACGGAAGATCAATGGAAACAGCAAGCTGGGATCGTGGATGGCGCGCGTCGTGTCGAGTGTAGAGTATCTATTTACTTGTTGGTCTGTTAATAGAATAGGACATAATTACTACATCGAGCGAGAACTCCGCCGATTCACTCCATCAGCAATGGGTGGTTGAAAAGCAGACACCGTTGTGATTGGCCCCGATTCACTCCAAGAGGACAGATGGCGTGGCCCAGCTGTGGGTTAGAGTCCAGTCGGACCGTAGATTCCTACCTACTTTGTACGACTCCCACCAACAGGAGGAGGTAATCCGTAAGAGGGGAGCGAGCAACACTGCCGGACTGACAGGCCGAAAGCAGGGAAGAATGCTATGCTAGTTTCTCCTCTTCTGGTATTGCGCCGCACTTATCATCATCATCATCATCATCATCGTCATTCATGATTGACTGGGTTAGACCAATGGCCGCGCATTCATTGGTTAGGGATTAAGTTTCACCCCTCGGAGAATTTTGACGCATGGCTTCTCGTGGAGAGGACCACCAGTGGTACAGCGAAACACTGGTTTAGTGTTGCTTTTAGTCCCTGCAGAAGCCGGGGGGTTTGTGGATGGGGGTGGGTGGGAAAAGAAAGGCGTGCGTGTGTGTGGCCGTTAATCAGGAGGTAGTACTCCGTACTCCGTAGTACTAGTCTAGTAGACCATAGCCAAGGCCATTGTTCTCGCCGATTAGTAGCAAAAAGGAAGTCGGAACTGGGCAACCGCCGTTTCCCACCTATTGAATGGCAGTGCTCCGTCCGGCGGACCGCGATGATCAGATAATGATTTGTATGATAGGGCAGAGCGTTGATGGATGAGGCGAACTTGTTTCAAGTCCGATACGAGACAATTAATGCCACTAAACAGCGCTAGGGCGAGGTGCGACTGCGGTGTTCAGGGAGAAAAGTGGGAGTCGCCAACGATCTTCGCCTCTTCGCTTACGTATATCGGCTGCCCGATCCCGCTAGCGACGCAGAGTCTGACCAAAGTAGCAATATCCACGCGTTTTAGTCCCAGGTACCTACTATCCGAACCTCCCTAACGACTATCTTGCTCAATGGAGTTAATGTACCAAGGATCAGAGTAGATTAGAATACTGTTAATATCTGCCACTATATCTTCCTCAGTTATCAGCTAGTATCAGTTGGAAAAAAAGGGAGAACAGGCTGTCAATTGACGCTCCCCTATCGCCTCCCATCTCTGATAATTGACAACCCAGAAAAGGACAGCGTGCCATTGTTCGTCAGTCAATCCATTGAAGGGTCCAGCGGATACTCCAAGTCTTTGTTGGAGTTACGCGGGTACGTAATGGCCCAGCGACTGCACACGGTAAGTGGAGGAAAACCATCCGAGTTGTGTCTATGATTTTATCCTGGGTAGGGGAACTAAGTTCGGAGCCGAGTTTATCCATCCACGGCTAGCGAAAGCGCTACTAATAATAAATTGGAGGCCGAGAGGACCCTGAAAGGCCAAGCAATCTGCTTGGGTTTGGCATGGGTGCTATAGTGCTGGCTAAGTGCATAGTTTGCATGCATGTCACCATTCCATACTTTGATTGTAGATATATTATATAACATATATAAATTAATTTAAACAATAGATAAACAAAGTCGCGCATCCCCTCTTTTCTCCATTAGAAACGGAGAAACTCAAGTTCATTACTTTAGAACACATGCCTGATCCAAGTAGAGTGAGTGCCCCCTCCCAGTCGAACTGGACAAGTGGACTTTTCGACGAGACTAGTAAAAGCACTCATGCCATCATCAGCAACAGCAACAGCAGTAGTGGCAGTGGCAGTGATGTCTTGTCATCATACGATTCTGGAAGTACCTCCGACTGCGACCTTGCAAATTCCCATTTGAGTCGGTTTCCATTCGACTGCGATCGACTGCAAACGCAATCCCTTACTGAGAAAAACCACTACATTCGGCCAGGCCAAGCCCACTGGCTACACTAGGATTGCAGATGTGATCCTTAAATCAAACCTTGGCCTGGAAGAGGCCCACATGATTTCTGACAGATTCGGTCTCGCTCCCTCTGCCTCCCAAGGCGGAGTATATTTCCAGGGTACATGCAGGTACGAGGTGAGCATGGATGTGGATGTGGGCTGTACAGCAAGGTGTGGGTGTGGATGGGCTGAGAAATAGCCGCTATGACTGACTGACTGACGCGGGCGCGCTGCTGCTCTTTTTCTACTACAGTTGTTTGGTTGCGTACCCGTAGCAGGAGGAACCATTCTAGAATTAGGCGAGAGACAGAGCATTTGCTAAATATCACCTAGTTCAGTGGAATCCAGTTCGAGCGAGATCAGAGGGTGAGAGAGGGGGTAAGTAAAAGAGAGAGAGAGTGAAGAAAAAAACTAATTTTCTTTTTTTCTATAAAACAGAATAAAATAAAATATAGAAAAAAAAAAAAAAAGGAAAAGAAGAGAAACAAAAAAAATTTTTTTTAAATGAAGCCCCATGTTCATCCTCATTAACTCATCTATGGAAACACCAGTGGGATTGCTGGAATGTGCAAGTCAGGATGACGATGATTAGGCCCCTGCCCCATGCCCTGCGGCGGCTCACCAATCAACAGCGTGTCCACTTGGAGAGGATGACGACTCCAGGGCTTCTCGAAGCTCAGCAAACTTCGAGTCTCTGTTTCACCTCGCCACTAGTCCCTTTCGGGTGATCTTGCGACCGGACGAATTCCTTCGTCTTCGCCCGGAGGGGAAAGTCCCTCGCGCTGGGGCGCTGCTGGTTGGCTGCAGTCTCCGGCCAGACCCATGCGGCCGCCCAATCGATCGCGGCCGTCACCCTGGCCCCAACGAGGAGTTAAATTTAAAACCACGCTCTTCAGATTCTCAGTGGATGAGAGCCGGGATCCAGATTCCCCAGTTCTTCAAATGATTGACAGGTCTCAGCTATCAGCGTGTGTCTTTCCCATCCCCCCATCCTCTCTCACTTACTCCCCCCCCCTCTATACTAAGCCCAATGGGGGAGGGAAGAACGCATACCTCCATGGAAACCCCACCCCCCACTACTACTAGACTACTAATAGAAGTGAAGTTGAAGTGAAGTAGCCTAGACTAGACTAGCCTTGACTTGGACGTGGTCTGGTTACAGGCGTCTGTCACAGACCTCTGGGACCACGGACGAAGACGGTGGGTGAAGTTGGGAGGAACCAGCCGGGGCGGTGCGAGGGATCAGGGGTATCTTTTTCCTTTGCCCGCACCGACCGACCGACACCTATCTAAGAGGCAAAAGTAATGGAGTAAGTAACTACTACTAGGTAGGTCCCCATGCACGATGCACACGCATGCTCCGGATGGTATGATAATGATTGGCGTATTTTCTGTCGTCGGCTTCTTGACAACCTCCAAACCCAAGGTACTTCGTTCGTTTCCCTTGCAAAGGTACCAGCCATTTGTCCTGGTCCTTGGGGGGGAAAAAAGGCTGCAATTTGTACCTCCATCAGTTCAGTCATAAGATCACCAATCCCACTTTCTGATGCCAGGAACTAGATGCAGCCCAGCCCAGCCTTTCCCATGGTCTCTGGTCTCCTTCCCTCTTTTCCTCTCCTGGCTCGCCCCGACTCGACTCGACAACCTTAAGATCCCACACAGCCACATTCCATGTGACGGTAATGATCCCTGCTAATATTCTCGAATGCCGCCATCACCCTTTTAAGACACTCGTCAATCTCTGCCTGCCTTGGTAGGTTTGATGAGATGTTTCAATTGGACAGTAATCCATCTTGTCCCTGCGCCTGAAGACTTTCAGGCTGTCTGGGCTGCTGCTGTCTGGGACTGCTTCCCAACCAACTCCCAACCATTAGTATTATGGAGGAATCTCACATCAGGCAAATCAGTATTCAGTTAGGCAGGTACCTCGAAGTTACCAACGAGTAGCTGAAGTAAATAGACGGACTAGTGGTGAGGTCGGCCAGTCGGGCAGTCCGACGCAAAGTCTACTAACTACTACTACTTAGTTACCTAAGGTACAGCCTTCTCTTCGCTATGGTATCATCCTCGGGCATATTAATAGTAAACCAGAGGAGGGGGGGAAATAAGAGGGTACAAAAAATAATTAAAAAAAATAGAATTAAAAAAAAAGGTCTCCATACCCAGGCTGGCGTTTCAGCTTGGGTTAGTAAAGGCTTGCCCACCTGAGGCGAGCTAGTTCTCCGACCTGATTCTTCAGCACTGACAGTACCTTAATACTGGGGGATGGGGGGGAGGAGACACCAATTCTTCCTTCCTTTAAGGAAAGATTTGGTAATAATGGTTCCGAATAATCCACGCATATTAGATTGCTTGATCTGGCTCTTCGTCATCGCCGGCATCATCAGCACTTTGTCTCATACCTCTTCCCCATACAGTTTAACTACTGACTCTGACACTGGGCCTTGTCTGGTTCCTGTGCCTGTCCCTGTTCCTGTTCCTGCTCTTTCTTTCTCTCTCTCTCTCTCTCGCTCTTGTCTCTGTCCCTTTACTCCTTTCTGCTAATTCTCCATTATCCACTTTGCGACTTACTCTCTGCCTTCCTTTTCCTTCCTTAGTCTCTCCCCCCCATGGTATAACCCCCATGGAATTTCAACACCATTGTGCTTGAATCGTTCCAGTAGCCTTTTTATTTTTATTTTATTCCTCCCTCTGTCTCCTTCTCCCTCTCTCTTTTGCACACACATATTTTTTCTTTTACCCATTTAATTTACCGTTTATCCTTAACTTTCTTGTTTTCTTTTCCCTCCCTCTCCATCTCACACTGTGTTTGATTTTTTATTTTTATTTTTTCCCTATTTCCTATTTTACTTTTTTCTCTCTACTACTTTTACCCTCCACCTAATTTGGCTTCCACAGCCCCTTTCTTTGCAGTTCCTTCACGGTCCCCTAAAAAGAAAAAAAAAAAAAAATATTCCAGCTTGGCTGTACAGACAATTCATACATCATACTTACTCCCAAAGGGAGCCCAAGAATAATATTACTTCGCTCCGGGTTTAAAATCTAAATCCCACCGCGCACAAAGTCCCGAGATCCTAGATCCCGAGCAACGATACCACTACTGCAGTGGGCACCCACTACGACGGAAGTAGGTCCTCGGTATTTCCTTTCCTCTTACCAAGTACTACTACTGGCTTCCTTTGCGACTTGACCACCACCACCACTACTTACTACCACCACTACTATTACCACCGTCCTTCCACTCAATTTGACTATCGTCCCTCTTCCACCAACCTTCACCTTCCTTTTCTCGCTTCTTGCCTTTCCTTTAATCGTCCAACGTCCAGTTCAGTCTTCTTCGCATTCACCTATCTATCCGACGTTTCCCCGCTTACTTTCGCTTTCTTGCTTTTCTTATTTCCTGCATTCAGGTTGCTGGTTCCCTACTAAACGATTAATTTCCCTTAAATTGCAGGCCGGGTTACCATTTCCCTCTATCAACAATTTATCCTGTATTGAGAAATTAAACCCTGCGATATCCTCGGGCATTGCTACTCCCTCCTGAAGCCCCGCTCCACGATTAGCAACGACGCGACGAGCCAAATAATTTCCATTCAACCATTTACCGGTGCTTGCGACTCGGTCTGCCCAAATCCATCGATACGATCCGAGTCTCTACGTGGTGGCTACTCACAGTACCCTGCCCGCTAAGGAACGATTGCGGAGGCGCACCGTTGGAACGAAGAATACCTAATACCGACATACCCCCAACAGTCATCGCTATAATTATTTGCGCTTCTGACTCAGTGACGTATTTTTTTTCCTTATTAATTCGGCACTTTTCACAGTCTAGCGCGGCACATTGCATCATCTCGATCCCACAACTTTATTCGGAATACGCTGCGCACTTGGGCGGTTCGAGAAGATCAACTTGCCCATCCTCTTTCTCTGTGTGATTAATGTGCTCTGGGCATACAGTCTTCGTTTTCTCATCACATCTTATATAGGGCTATGCCCGCGGTTGTCGAGGATATCACTCCGATAACAAGATCAGAAGGCACAGTCATGGAATCTTCCACTGCGGATAAGAAGCGCAACAAGCTTGGATATCATCGCACCTCTGTCGCATGTGGTAAGCTCTCGGTTCTCGGTGGTCTCCGTTGGAATACTCATTTCTTATGCGACAGTACACTGTCGGCGGCGAAAGATCCGATGTCTTGTTGCGCCAGACGATGCTCAAGGACGATGCGAGAATTGTATCCGCCTCCGAAAGGAATGCCAGTTCTTCCCTGTCGACCAGCAGCCCCCGATTGAGAAGAAGTCACGTCCCAGTTCTCGTCTAGAAACCGCTTCGACGGACCCGTCGACCGCTTCTTCGTCGCCACCGAATGTGACTGGGGTAGAGCAAGCGGAGCCTTTCTTTACTTACCAACCCATGCCGTTGGGTTCGAATCCGGATGTGGGAGCCTTCAATACTGCGACCTTTCCGAGTAACCCGATGGCACCATTTACTCCAGGTTTGTGGCTCTAACGAGCAGGAGGAATGTTGAATCATGAAGTGTGTTGACCATTGCCTGAAACAGATCGCAGCGTCGGTGCGGACTTTGTAGCGCCTCCTTCTATGGACCCCGGGGTTCCGTGGGACGAGTATACGACCATCACAGACCCTCAAATGTTAGCAGCTATGCCCGCGGGGAAAGCAATGATGAATATGTCTTCGAACGTTTGGGGTGCGACACCCAATCCCATGGCACCGATGCCAACCACTTCGCCCCTGCCAGGAACGCCCACAGTCCCGTCGCAGTCGCAAGGTCTGGCACAAACACCCACGTATGCCATGCAGCCTGATGGGACGGTCTGGCAAGTGCCCCCCCAACGCGCGATGACATTTTCGGCACAACCCGCAGACATGGCAATCCCGTATCCGAACCAAGGTCAATTCGTGCAGCCATCGCCTACAGATCTTAAAAGAAGAATGACCAGCCCGGCCCAGTCTTTCCCCGGAACTCCGATCAACCCCCAGAGTCCTCCTGCAGCGGATCTACAGGCGGTGTCTGTCTCATACCCAGGCCAGCCGGCCGCTATGGGTTTCAACACCTGGCAGGATGTGAACAGCATGTCCCCCATGAGTGTGGTCCAGTACCCGATGTACACGAACGACCCAGCCCAGCAAGCAGGCTTTGGCAGCCCGCCACCGATGGGCCACCCCGGTCCAGGCCAATCCCCGCAATAATGAGCTCGACGAAGAGCGGAGATGACAAGCGCTTCAGAAGGAAAACAAAAAGCATCATCGGATTCGCTATTAAATACCCCGTGCGACGTATTGCATCCTTTTCTTTTTCTCACTTCTTTCCCATATCATTCCATCCCATGCATGCACCTTTACTTTTACCGGCTGGTCATTAGCGGGCGCAGAGGATCTTGGGCGGTATTTTACTCTTCGTTTCTTTCATGAGACCCCATCCCTCTTGATTGAGGCGTCATCTATCTACATGCGCGGCTCAGGGAGCAAGTTCTTTTTAGACTCTTTCGTTGCTCTTCCGGTTTTATTATTCGCCATTTTGCTTTTTCACCTACTGTTCATATTAGCTTTGGATATCCACGGTGGGGTTCATGAGCTACGCATTCGGCCACCAGCGGGACAGGTGTCTGATCATTGGTTTTGAGTGGCGTTACCGGCCTGGTCCTGTCTCATATGCTGATCCTGGCGCTGTCATGCAGCCTGGATCGAAGACTAGTCTGGACCGGCCCGACTCTTATGATTTCGTTTGCTTTGCTTTCGTCCCCTTGCCATGCACCTGGTCACATCACATCCGTCGTCGACGAGTCGATCAACAAGGGCAGACAAAGGGATGGAAGTCAAGTGGCCATGTTTATGCTTTTGCTTGTTGCTTTCTTATTGACATAGACTCCACTATGAGCCACCCTCTACCTCTAGTACCCCTTCATTATGGAATAGAAAACCGGCACATAACTGCCTCTTAGTTCACCGTGGATCCCATACAGCCTTTTGGGTTCCTTTACCCATTCCGTGCGTAAAGCAAGATATCTTTGGCCATGACGCATATAGTAAATGATAACCCTCTTCCTAGGGCTTCCCATGACAATGGCAACAGGCCATGCCGTTTGAGTAGCCGTTATTTCAGTGCCTTGGCCTTCTAGGAGTAGTTGCACTCAGATGATCAAGGTCATTGTTCAGTCACACCAGTCACACCGTTAGAGAAATGTAGGACTAACCAGTAGTAGCTAGAAGAAATCAGAGCGAAAGCAAGAACGGAATCTTCAGTACAAGCAACAGGACTCATTGCTGCGCCTGAGGATCAACTCGTTATATCGTTCTGCACGATCATCTTATTGTACAATTGCTCCACACATCACCTTCTCACATGCAATCATTGCATCCGCCTAATTCTGCAGCCAGTCCTCTTCCATCGCTGAAATTCTTTTTTTTTATACAAGAAACTATAGTGGGAAGACTTGTTCCTCACCGACCATGATACAAGAACAAGCGGATCAGGAGGTCCGCAGTGCACACTGCAGCCAGTCTCCGTCACATGTTTGTGATATAACCCCCCGCCTGGATTGGATTTGTAGCTGGACCCATTTGTCGACGCGCAGTAGCCACAACATTGATTTGTGCGACTGACACCAACAATCCCAGTACCACAACTTCTACGTGAAGTATGTCTTCTCATTGCCATCAAGAACAATTCCTTCAAGACGCCAGCCAGGCCAGAAATGACATCATCGGGGTGACGCGATCTGGACGCACCCCGATTAGGCAGGCACGGGGTGGTCACGAGAGCCCTTTTGTAGAAGAGAGTTACTAGAGAGTCAACTCTCAACTCCTGCCTGCGATTCACTACATACCATCTCCTCATCATTGCAGCACCAACTCTGAACTACATACTGTCTTGCTATCCTGCTGAACTACCGTGAAGATACGTCACAGCCAGATTGCTTTTTTATTTTTTGCTTTTCCCGCACCTTGTCGATAACACCGTAACACTGACAATGTGATTGGAAGATTCCCCGACCCTTGCTAGCTGCAACGGCGATCAGAAGAACAGACAGGATACCTAAGCAATTGCTTGCCGTCCACGGTTTATCCGAACGACAACCCCGGACCAAACGGATCATGGGGCTTAGTTGACTGATAAACACCTTCACAGACGGATCTGCCAATAATAGGGGCATTCTGCAGTATTGCTTATCACCCTGTCGGATTTGCCTGGCGGGTTGAAACCGGAGCAGACCAGGAGAAAGTATATTTGCTCCGAGGTGATAACGATCCTTTGATAAGCTCGGTCGGGGATCGAATTCGATGCGAGTACTACACAGTATCCGGAGCGGAGCCATGCTGGAGGAATACTGTGCCACTGCTCACACTTTTGCTTTGTACCTTCTGCGGGACTTGAGTCTTACCTCTTCAATCACTGATCTTTCAGAAGTGACTGGTATGTGTTGTGTGTGGGTGTGTGGGTATGAGCGTGTGCGCGCCACCGATCGTTCGGTCTGGGGTCCGATAATGCGGAGAGCAACAGCCTCACTTTATTAATATCATCGACGGCACTGATAGCAAGCATTAGCTGGGTCGATAACAGCTGTCATGCTGCAATCTGATTGCCCCTTTGATGATGATTGCAGGCTCAGGGTACCAGGTTCAGAATCCGCGACGTGACGTGTCTGTGCTCTTCTGGCCTTATCTCCAGGCTGTCCGGGCGTCTCGATGGCGACAATATGCATAGTTATCAATATGATTATCGCGACTCCTGGCCGATGGTCGGCGAGAGCCCCTGTTTTGACCGAGGGCGCTCGTCCAGTACAAAATCCGGTGCTGCTCCCATTGGGTTGGGACTTCTGATCTCTTCACCCAGCGACAGGGACTGGAAAGTGAGGGCCTAGTTGACCGCCATTCACCTGTGATGCCTTATCGTGCTCCTGTGGGGGGCTGTATGCGGTTAGTAGAAGCCAGTCAACCCCTTTGGGCGCTGAAGGTCTTTCCCTGGAGCTGTGTGGACCATATATAAACACTGGCAGTCGAAGTGGTCGACACAGACAGTGACTGCTGGCCTTTCAGTTCCTTCTTATTCCTTTGGCATTTTCGTCCCCCTTTTCGTCGTACCCAGCAGACGAGGCTCATGTTTGAGGTCTTTTATTTTCTCACGTTTCACTCAAACCATCGATATATGAGAGAAGCCGTGTGTGTACTGTGGATAAAACTCCAGTTTTAACGCTGACTCTAGTGCCCCATTCTTCCCCCAAACTATCTCCACGCCCTCCCCGTCCCGACCCATCGGTTCATGCTAGCATCTCTTGTATATGTACACACTTACTCGCAACTAGGGACATGCTACTGGAACATGCAGACACTCGTCGATAACGCAGTCATTGCCTTCTTGCATTGCTAGCCGACCCTCCTTTGACGGTCGCATCTGATCTACTCACAGGTTTCTTTCGACCATACCAGTCGGGCTTCATCAGGCAAACCCTCTCGGCATACAACAACCCTCCCATGGACATGCTGGCACGTCTTATCTCCACAGTTCCTGCACTCTTGATGCGGGAAAAACTATCTGCAGGGGTTCAGGCTGTATTGCATTGCCTGAATTTCCGGCACGCCCGCGCCAGCCGCGAGAAAATCGAACCGATCCTAGCGTGGGGGGTGGGAGGAATATGCCGGAAGATGGATGCTTTCGCTATCGACTTTGATCAGATGTAATCTTTTATGCTCATGATTGACATCTCTGATGCATTCCTGATGACTATTATCTGTCTTCCGATTGACGCTGCCTGACAGTGGCGCATGATGCTTCGATCCACTTCTGGACAAAAAAGGAAGGACTTACTGAACCTTCCACAGATTGGGGACAGGCTAGGAGACGAAACTGCGAAAGTGCCGAGGCTGGAGTATGGGGTGAAGACTACCCCAATAGTTAACACGGAATATGGGCCGGATGTCTTCCGGGTACGTTCCGCCTAGTGATGACGTCCCAGATCATCCTTACTATCGACCACGAGGTAGCAGTCGGTCGGTGACGTTGCCTGATTTTGATATTGCATGATGCGAAGAGACCATGCATCTGGTGCTATCCAGGGAATTTGTTCTCTCGCTCGCCCCTTGAAACTAACAATTTAATCATCATATTGTTGCGGTGCCCTAGAACAGGTTTGACTGAGGTGGGCCGGATGCTCGATTTGCCGCACATCAGAGGGAAACTACGAAGTACGGCCATCCCAGACACTCTTAGCGACGGCGTACTTACTTGGGCTGGTTAGCCCAGGCACACATCTGTGCTTCATAAGACCGGTTTCCTGTTCGAGCGTCCCGCCGGAAGTTGGTCGCTGCATCCGGACCAAAAGGGAGCAGTCATACCTCGTTCCATCCAAGGTTTGCGTGGCGTCGACTCAGGAATGTTAGAGATGCAAATTATTGACACTATTGACGATGATTACAGAATATGGGAATGGCTTGGAACGGCCTTTATTGGACGTGTCCGTGGACCATGAGGTAGACAGGCTGGAGATACTGTCGATCGATGGGCATTTTCCGACCAACGGAGTTAAGGTCGGGCGGGTGAGTCAGCCGGATCCGTGCACGGCGCCACTCGCCCGCTTTGCCTTCCTCCCAAGGCTCCTGTCTATTCCCGTCGAACTCTATTGCTTTTGCCACGGCCCCAAAGTACCCCCCTCAAACCAATGACTGGCTGCGCTTGATATTCCCCTTTCACATGCTGGCTGACCTTTACTTGCTTCAGCTTTGTCCTTTTTGTTGGCCAAATATTTTCGTTGGTCTGACCCCAGCTCGGTCATCCTTTTGAAGGTAGGCGACTGGGAGCGGCAACCGTGGCATGCATCCTAAGAGTTACTTCATCGCTTCGAACTGACCCGATTGACGGACGGCCATTGGCCGCGATGACCAAGGCTCATTACATGCTTATCTGCTTATCTGCGACTGTTATCTCCAGGACATCGTGGGTAGCGTGGGAGGCCGTGATTATGGAGCACTAGTGCGGTGGACCTCGCGGTTGTTCCTCCCGTGGGGCCGAAACGTGCTTGAGAACCAGTACAGAAGCAATCAACGACTCATGCTGGCGCGTACAGAAGGGGCAGATTACTGTGGTCACTATCTACTGCCTGTGCAGGCATGCAGTGGCCAAGCGACTGTCCTGTGCTCGCTTGCCCTTTTTTTCAATACACGATCCATCCGGCAGGCAGGACACCCACTTTTTCCGGCCAACGATGATGGCTAACGGTTTCCCTGGACAACCTTGTCCGGGCTTGGCAATATCTCCTACGCTTGGATCTTCAGCCGTGTTATTATTAACTGCTTATTATGACTTGCCACTGCCAGGGGTTTCAATAGTACTGGGAAACGCCTCTTGCACCGTGCTTTTGCCGGGGCAGCGCCCGCACCAGTGTTGCAGTAAATAGGGATGAATACCGAAGAAGAGCCTGATGAGCACTACCGTCATACTTACCGTTGACCAGGGCCCTGGGCTAAAGCCGGTTAATACGACGCGCCAGGACGAGGCTGTGAACCGACTACTGCATCATCATGCACTGCAGCTGCAGGATCGGATAGTTCTGGCCAACGAGTGATCTGGCCCAACTCAGAGGAAGCATGTCGAGCGGACAGGCACAACTGGGGGAGGGGATGGAGAGCTTCATCCTCTGGTTGAATCAGAGAGACAAAGGGCCCCCGCAACCATGGGTGGATCCACATGCATCAAGATGAATCGTGGATTTCTCCCTGATTAATATCTCTGCACCTGGGAGTGGAACAAAGGCAGCTATGAGGCTGTAGGGATTACTCGTAGCAGGCTAGCAGCAGTAGCTAGCCCTGCTGGCATACTGTCTATGCTTACTAGGCGGTGGTTTAGTCGATGCTTGTTACGCGCTTGAAACGCATCTGACCAAACCGTCAATACCGCAGCGGATTACCGGGTCATACGCGGATCGGGTAAGATAGGGTATGGTGGAAGAAAGCCAGCTCCGGTGAGTATCCCGTAGTAGACTACGACTAGGCAGTCTGACGAGGAGGGTTGCCAACTTACGAGGGTCAGTCTCGTACCTGCTTCGGGTTTCCCCCTCGACTGTCTTCTGCTGCCTGCGGCCAATTCTCCATTTTGCGAGATGAGGGTGGAGAGCTGTTCCGACGAAGCTTTGTCCGCGGGCTGGCCGTTGGCTGGCCCCCGGAACCTCCAGAGGGCTGGCCAACACGGCTGCTCAAGTCCACCGTGTCCGCAAGAGGACAGCAACCTTAAATTGGGCTGTCTCGTGTAAGAGGCATGGTCGGTGGCCGGCCATGTGCCTGATGGTGGCCCATGAGTGTCCCCATCTACGCGATGGAGGGAGGACTGGATCACTCGAGGGCTCGGGGGTCGTCCGGGCCAGGCGGACAGCCCGATGGTGGACAGGTCCCGCCCCGCCGCTAGTGTCAGCGTCGAGGACATCGGGACGATGCGCTCGCTCGCTCGCTCGTGGTGGCTGGCCTGTCGTCCTTGTTCCTCCTACGTCCGGAGAACGGGTCCGATGAGCGGAGCAGGCCCTGACCCGTTGCTTAAGTGTGGAAGCGGTCGCGGGCCAGCTACTCAGTCGGGAGGTCCAGAGAGAGGGGTGTACGGTATGCTGTCCTGCAGGAGCGTCCAAGTGGACACGGTCAATTAAACCATCGGGCCGATGGGACAGACCAAGATGGATCATGCATGCAAGCGCACAGTCCAGGCTTAATAGATTTGATTCCAACAAGGTCAGGGTTAAGGTAGTGACTAGGGGAGCGACTATCGTGCGCTCAGATCCCACGATCCCAAGCGATAACAACAGCTTTATATGGCATTTCGGCCGACGATAGGGGGTAAGCTTTTTGGTCAAGCGAAGCATCGGCTGATCCTAATCCCAGTCCATTCCGGCCTGTCAGTCCTTGGAGTGGTGCTTGATTTGATCAATGAATCGCATGGAGCCCAAAGACTGGCATGCGATGGGTCAGAGAGGAATCGATGGTTGGGAAGAGGGCTACGGGGGGGTAAATGAGTGGCACAGGAAACCTAATTCCCGAGGAGGGTCGCGGAGCTCGCTGGCCCGAATACCTGGGACATTTCGTATACATCAGATTCAGCAGCAGGAGCAACAGCAGCAGACTCTCCTACTACGAGGAGTATGCCGGAGTTTTCAGGGCTCGGATTGTTTTACTATAGGCTGGGCATGACTGCGACAAGCCAGCGACGGTCGGCCCTTACGGTCGCTTGGCGGGCGCTGATTGGTGGGGGAATTCAGGCCAATTCCTGGCTCCGAATCAGGATCCGGATCAGTCTGCTGCCTCCATCTTTTTAGTCGCATTTCTCTGCTGGATGGACAGTCTACTAGTCATGATGCGTATGTCTCGGGTCTTGGGGGGGAAGCAAAAAACAGCCTGCGCCTGTGTAGTAGTGAAGATCTCGACCCGTCCTGCGTGTCAGTTAAAAGACGTGACATCCAGACAGGTAGACCAACAAACACACCATCATTCCGAGACGGATGATCAGGGAGGAGAAAGCAGTCTCGAGAGTAAGTATGAGAGAAAGAAGCATGAATGGGTTAATCTAAACGGACGGCGCTACTGCAGCTTTAGTGCTTCGAGAAACGCCAAAAACCCATCCCGACCCGCGCCACTGGCCACGCCCGCCGTCACGGTAATACAAGGGTATTGGACCAAGCTGCAGAGACCCAGCTAGTAAGTACTTTAGTATAGTAGGAGAAACAATGATTCCCAGCGGACAGCAGGGGGGAAAAGGAGGGGCAATGAGTTGGAGGAGGTTGGAGGTCATAATGGGGATTGTATATATATCCTGTATACCATTGTTACTTTAGACTTGTTACTGCTGCCACGAGTTTGAATTGAATTGTTGTTGTTGCCGTGAATCTGTTTTTGAATTTGCCTTTTCCCATCTCGAAATTCGCCAGTCTGCTACGGCGGGAAGCTAAAAATTCCGGCAGAATCCCGGCGGGCAAATCAGCGTGGATGCGCAGGGACGTTCCTCGCGCATTGTGACTGGTTCTTGGGTCACTGAAACTCCAACCCACCCGTGGATGGAGGCAACAGCATCCACCGGCATTTGGCTTCTCGAATGAATGACTGGACTGAAAGAAAGGTTGATTGCTGGGTTATAAGAGGTTCAAAGAAGCAGTAGCTTTCTAGGAAGGTGAGTGAAGTCAGTAAGAGACCGCATGATTCCAGACAATCTCTCTCTCATTCTCTCACCAATTCAATTCCTGCCCCACTTCTTCACAGGAAAAGAAAAAAGAGAGGGGCAAAGTCTTGTTCTTGTTCCTGTTCTTTTTCCTGTGCTTGACTTGACTTGACGGACGGACTGACACTGTCTCTCCTTCTTGTAATAATTAAGGCCCGACCTTGACTGGATTAGACTCGCAGCCTTTCCTCCACTTCCGGTGTCCACTTTCCACTCTCCGGCTCCGTCATCTACTAGGTATCGCATTATTATTCATCTCCACGGCTCTTCCTCTCTCTCTCTCTCTCGCTCGCTCCCTCCCTCTCTCTCATCTTATTCCCTCTCCTCCTCTTATTTCTTCTTCGGGCCCCCTCCCCAGTCTATTTCTTATCTCCCCCCGGCTGGAATCTGTCCCATTTTATCTATTTTTTTTTTTTATACTTTTCTTTTTGATTTACCGTTATTGAGTGCATATTACATTGCCTTTTTCTTTTTTTTATTTCTTCCTTACACCCTCAGCAAATCAGCCTTCCAGCGCGTCATGTGCATCGGGAGGGTCTAGCCCCCCCTCGCCGGTCAGCCATCAGCATCATCATCCTGCATCCTCATCCTCAGTCCTCGCTTACCCATTCCTTTGGATTCGCCTCCGCCCACTTCTTCTGTTCCCCTTCCGACGTCACATCTAGAAGGAACAGAACACCATCTGATCCATTGAGTTTCCATAAAAGGGAATGAGAGGGGGGAATTAAACCCAACATACGAAAAATAAGAAAAGAAATCAGGTATTCAAGCAGAAAGAATTACCCGCCGCGAGATTGCTCGTGGACGGAATAGCTGCAAGGCCAGGGATTCTAAAAGGTACGCACCCTGAATACATGCGCACACCTCTGTTTTTTTTTATTATTATGATTTCTATTGTATCATTATTATTATTTTTATTTCCAATTCCCTCGGACGGATCCCGCCGCAGAAACGGAAGGGGAAAAGAAAAAGAAAAGAAGGAAAAGGAAAAGGAAAAGCCGGGGGGAATGCAGTGCATGCAAGCCACTTGCATCTTGCGAGGAGGGGGGAAGGGATTATCATTATAATTATTATTATTCTGATTTATGATTATTATTATTTCCTGCTGTTACTACTTGCTACCTACTACTAGTTGATCTCACCACTGACCTGCTCCCGATCCTAGCTCCCGTTGTCCTGCTGCTGCTGCCACCACTACTACTTGGCTACTACTGCACCTCGTTTTGACTTTCGACCATCCACCACTACTTTGCGCTTACTGCCAACTTACTTATTTTCGATTCTTTTTATTGTTTCTTTTGGATTTATCTATTTTTCTTTTCTTTTCTTTTCTTCTTCCCTCCCCAAACTTTGGGGGACCGAACCCCTCCCACATACACACCCTCTTGTCTCGCCGCGATCCTCCGAGACAGACAGACAGACAGAACACAGACAGACAGACCCTCAGTCCGTCTATCCATTTGGAGATATCCGATAGATTATTATTGCCCAGGGTTTGGCTGAATCTGGTCGTTTACGGCGGGTAGCCTGGAATTCCTCGTGCTGCGACCACCGGCCAATCGAGCGCGGCGGCCTTAATTGGTGCTGGACTCTCTCTCTCTCTCTCTTCGCTTTCCTTCGCTCTTCCTTTTCCGCCCTTTAATCCGGCCTCCTCTTCTTCCCTCCCTCGCCGCTTATCTTTCGCCGTCGACTCTCTGGTCGTTCGTCCTCCTTCGCCTTTCCCCAGTTTCCCCTCCCTCCCTGCCTATCTCTGGTCCTGCACCTCCCTTATCTTTTCCCTTTTTTTTGATCGCATTTCTTTTCTTTTTTTTTTCACCTCAATTAATTTATTCTCTTTTGGGGGGTTGGTCGACTCTTTCTCTGTCTGCCCGTTACCTTTTTTCTTTTCTCCGCCCTTCTATTTCGTGTGCCCCCTTGAGGGCTTCCTCCAATCAGACCAACCATGTCCGGGTTGACCCTGGGGGGAGGAGGCAGTGGTGGTGTGCGACCGACGCAACCCGCGGCCTTTGCTTCTCTCCAGGATTCCGCCGACGCCGACCGCCGCTCCTCCACCACCACCTCCAACAACCCCCTCCACTTCCCTCCGACTTCCTCTCAACTCTCCGACGATTTCTCCTTTGGCTCCCCAATCAGCCCCGCCGATTCCTCGAATGCTCCCGACAGTCTGCTTCACGATTCCCTTTTTCCGGAATGGAAGGTCGGTACGCCTCGAGCCGGGTTTGATGGGCCCGATGAGATGCAGCGAAAGGACCCTTTAGCGACCCAGATATGGAAGCTGTATTCTAGGACCAAGGCTCAGTTACCCAACCAAGAGCGCATGGAGAACCTGACGTGGCGGATGATGGCAATGAGCTTGAAACGCAAGGAACGGGAACGTGCTCAGCAATCTCGGTAGGTGGAGTGCCTCGTCAACCCTCTCTGTTCCTCTCCCTCACCCCCTGCCGTCGCTCGATGGAATGCTGATCGAACCTCGTGCGTCAATAGTAGTGCCTCCGCTAGAAACAGCGTTTCCGGCCCCAGTGGCATTGCTCAACTACGTCTCACTGATCGCGAGCCGACCGCGGCAAATCCGTCTCTCTCCACCGACCTGACCTCTGATCCTATGAACCTCGACGATTTCATTGTTCCCTTCGAATCTCCGTCCGATCACCCATCTCCTCAACTCACGAAAGGCGAGGCGACGTCGGCAGCCATCCCGATCAAGTCCCGCAAGGACCAGGTGGCTGAGTCCACACCCGTGCCCGCATCGTTCCCCCACCCACCCCAGGACCAGCGAAAGAACAGTGAGTTTGGCTACGTGCCCCGTCGGGTGCGCAAGACGAGCATCGACGACCGCCAGTTCTTCAACCTCCAGGTGCCCACCCGGAAACGCCCGGCCGAGGCGTCGCCCCAGGTGCCGCCCGTGTCGAACGCCATGTTGGCTCAGGATCCGGACTTGTCGGGCGGTGTGCCGGACTACGCCCTGGATGCGTCGTCGGCCTTTGCGTTGCATCATAATAACCATTCTTCGTCCCACCACAACCACACTTCGCCGGGCATGCCGTTTGGTCTGGATACCTACGGCCTGGGTGAAGATCCGATCCTTACTTCCGCCGGTCCCTACCAGACCCAGTTTACTTTCTCTCCCACTGAGTCCCCCATGACGTCAGGCAACCCCTTTGCCAACCTGTATGCGCACACGCCGGTGGCCTCGTCCCTCAACTCGACCGATTTCTTCTCCCCGCCGCAGTCGGGATACCAGTCGACAGCCTCGACGCCGCAGCCCGCGTATGACGGTGAGCATTCGATGTTCTTCGATATGCCGTCGGTGGATGCGCGCACGCAGCGCCGGGTTCCCAACTACGTCTCGCACCGCACGTCGAACCTGTCTGCTTCGCTGCAACCGCGATATATGTTCAACCAGAACCAAGATCAGTCGCACCACACCGGCAACCATTCGTCGTCGATGCACTCGCCGGGCTATCCCATCCCTCAGCCCCAGCACGTTGATCCCACCCAGGTGCTCAACCCCAACGATTTCTCGACCGGGGCTTCTCATGCGGCCATGTTCAGCTTTGGCGCTGATTCGGATAACGAGGACGACGACGGTAACCAGTTCTCCGACCGTGCGGGATTGACGATGCCTGGCGATCTGGATGATGGTGCGGATATGAACGGTGGCATGCAGTGGGATGCTCAGTTCCCTGGGTCCTTCCACTCGCTGCCAGGATTCACCGCACAGCACCGTAAGCATGTGACGATCGGGTCCGCCGACATGATGGACACCCCCAGCGAATGGGCTCAAAGCGGCAGTCTGGGACGCACGCATGGATCGGCCGCCTCGGTCAGCGAGGTGCGCAACCGCGAGCAAGATCCCCGGCGGCAGAAGATTGCGCGTACGACGTCGACGCCTAATACGGCACAGCTGCTGCGGCAGAGCATGAACGCCAACACTTCACACACGTCACCCAACACACCGCCAGAGTCGGGCTTGAGCAGTGCCGTGCCATCTCGGCCGGCCAGTCCGGGTGGCTCGAAGAACGGTGAGCAGAGCAGTGGCCCGACCACATGTACCAACTGCTTCACGCAGACCACCCCGTGTGCGGCGTAATCTGAGGGCCAGCCGCTGTGTAACGCCTGCGGGCTGTTCCTGAAGCTGCACGGGGTGGTGCGGCCACTGTCGCTCAAGACGGACGTGATCAAGAAGCGCAACCGCAGCAGCGCCAACAGCCTGGCGGTGGGCACTTCGCGCGCGTCGAAGAAGTCGGCACGCAAGAACTCGGTGCAGCAGACGACGGTCACCACGCCGACGTCGAGCCGGGCGCAGAGTGGTGCGACGTCGTCGGAGTCGCCGCCCGCGGTGCCGGGTGGCAGTTCGTCGGGCAGAGCCGCAGGCGTGGTCCCCATCGCGGCGGCGCCTCCAAAGGCGAACCCGACGACGAGTTCTCCAGGACAGAGTCGGGGAACCTCGTCCGTGCAGATGGCGCCGAAGCGTCAGCGTCGGCTGGAAAAGGCCACGGACGCGGAGGCAGGCGGCGACGAAGCCAGCAAATCGAGCACGGCGAGCGGAGGACGGTCCAAGGTGGTGCCTCTGGCGCCGGCAATGCCCCCGGCGGCAGCCAATCCGGCCAACCACAGCATTGCAGGCGGGCAAGGAGCCAGCCAAGAGTGGGAATGGCTGACTATGAGTCTGTAAACTTTGTGCAGATGAGTCTGTAAAAGTTTTCTGCGGACAAGTTTCACGGGATGAATCTTTTCTTGTTTCTGATGTTCCACGATAGACATGACCGCGCAGCAAGGAGTTCTCGCTAGACGAGCAGGAGTTGGTAATATGCAAGGGTAATGGTCTGCGCTGGCTGGCGGCAGGTCTAATGAGTGATGCGATTTCGGTTCTTGGGGATGCTTAGGATGCTTAGTACATGTCTAATGAAGGGGATGGACGAGCGGGAGGATTTTATTGTGTGTTTTTGCTTGATACAATCGCGTCTGTCCGGTCCATTCTGCTGTTGCTGCTGTTGCTGCTGCTTGCTTTTCTACTTGTGATGATTTTGTGATTTTGTTATGTTTGTTTGTTCAGAACTCGGACCGGGCAGAAGTGCGCATCTCCTTGTTTAGAGTGATTTAATCTTTTCTGATTTTATCTTTGCTTTCCGCTTGATTGTGATTGTGATTGTGATTGATTGTGATTATGAATAGTTAGGTAGTCTAAAGATGGGTTCAATTTGAACGACATGTCTTCTTTCATTCCTCCGATTATGTAGTTACTCGAACCAGAACCGTATCGCCTGCACAACCCCTATTAAATGGAGACCAATCCCAACGGTGGAATGGTGTCCAGAATATTGGGTGTAGGGGGGTGGTTGGTGTCAATGTGGCGAAGATGGAGTATAGAATGCATTGGTGATGGTGTGGATAGTTTAGGATGGTGGTGATGTTGTGGATAGTTTAGGATGGTGTTTATGATGTAGAAAATGAGGATAACGTGATGTAGACTGTGTTGTGTTGTGTTGGTGTTTACTGGTCTAGAAGGTGCAAGTTGAGGATCAGGTGTACCACATGATAATGTGCAGAGTAAGGGATGTGGTGTAGATGTTGACAGCACCGGTAGATTATGTTTCAGTACTGCGCTAGTACTTCATTAACTGTTAATACGAGAATATCCAGGTTGCTACTATCTTGTCAAGTTCACTGTCATGTATAGAACGCATTGACCAATAACATCAGTTGCATCACATGACACACGTGACCATATAAAAATTCCATCGCTTTCATACAACAACATCAACCACCATACACGCCACAATCACACCATATACAACATATACTCCCTTAATACCCATATACTCATAAAGTACACCCCCCAACCATGGGCTCCAGCTCCAAAAAGAAGAAGGAGAAGCAGAAGGACTTCCAGGTACCCCACCCATCCCATACCCACCACCACCACCGCCAGACCCAACATAACTAACTTCCACCACCAGAAACCCAAGCTCAAAGTCGGCAAAGCCAAAGCCA